TCTACACTGGTGCTACAGCACATGGATTATGTTCATGTTACCAGAAAATTTTATACTGTTGCCATGTTGATATCTTGGAGCTGCTCTGGTTTATTTCTTCTTTTGTATATGTGTATCTTAAGGCCAGTCTGAGAATGTTTATGAATACCAATTCCAGCTATAGAAACCTCTTTCATTGTTTCTGTCTGATTTTTACTACTATGTTTTAGACTTTTTGGATACCTGAAATCACTATTCCCCAGAACTTACTTGTAGGAGAACCATGACAGAGGGGCATTAGCTCAGCCTGATGTGACACTCAAAGCACAGAACCCCCATGCGAGCGGCACCTGTGAGCTCCTGCAGCCCGGAGCAGAGGCAGCCTGGGGCCTTCCCTGTTCCCTCACCTTCACATTGAAAAATCCCATGTTGTTCAGCTGCCCTGGCACAAGCTGTGAGCTGCTCTGTGTCCCAGAGTCCCCAGCTGCAAAAAGACACTTCAAAGTGGTTACAAACTGTTTAAAGAATTTTGAGAGCTGCTGCTAAAGAGCTGAGTGCTCAGTGTCAGAGCTGAAAGGATCCTGCAGTGCAAGTTTCCATCTGCTTTCAATACTTGAAAACAATTAGCCCTACTTCCAGGTGAAACAAATTCCAGAGAGGTGAAACTTGACAATACTCTGACAAGCAAAGACTTGTGAATGAATTTTTATATGGTAGGTCTGCGCTCAACAAGTGTCACGGAGCATAATCAGGAGAAGGAGCTAAACAGGTATCGAATTTTATGCAGTAGTAGCTTAGTTTGTTTATTTGCAATAAATCAGTTCAGTGACGTTCCAGTTTCTTCCCTGGTCAGGCTGTTTGGCAGTGGCAGTGCCTGGCTGAACTGAGTGTCCGATGTGAGGTAGCCCAGGCTCCGTGTCCTGAGGTAACAGGAGCTGCTGCTGTCTGCACGGGGCAGCGAGATGGGTTCTGTAGAACATTTACAGATTTTTGGAACAGCCCTTTGGAACAGACCCTTCAGAACAGACCTTACTGTCGCTAATTAAAAAATACATTTGTAAGCAGATCGTATTTCAAGGTGCCATGCTGCTGCTGTAAACTCAGAGCTGAAAAGGACCTGTTTGATTATTGATATATTTGATTAAAAAAAAAAACCCAACCCATAAGAGCACTCAGTATGAAAAAAAACATATTCTTGGTCCCTCCAATGCAGCTGAAGGTGTTTCCTCTAAGCTTCAAGTCCTCTCTGCATTTCTCTAACCAGTGACACCAGTGCTTACAAATGGGAGCCAGCAATGCTTTGGCTCTTGCAGGACGGGTCCTGGGGCAGACAGTGCCGTGTGGGATTTTTAAAACTGCATTTCAGAAATATGAGTTCAGAAATCTGCTAAGTCTAGAATTAAAGGACATGGGCATGAGTTGATGGACGTTCTGCAGGAGGCGAGCTTCCAAAGTTTGGTGGAAATAAGCACCAGTTCAGCTGGCACAGATCTATAGAGAGGCAGCACGCTCATGGCCCAGCTTCAGCTGAGACATTTCAGGTGGGCATGTTCGTGTTGAAGGGATGGTGGCTACACTATCTGTGAATCAAAAGCAAAATTAAGGGTTAATTAAATGAGGAGGGTTTTTGAGCTGTATTTCTGTTAAAGCTGGTTCCATCTCCCTCACCCCCTTCTTTAATAAAGAAAAAAAAATCCCAAATAGGAGGTGCACTTTTTGGACATGAACAGGCCTAAAGCACAAACCTTTTCCCTTCGAGCTTCCCCTGCTTCTGTGCTGTCACTGTGCATGCACCGTCTGCGCATCTTCAGGGACACCAGGGGCAGCAGCTCTAACAGCAAAAGGCCACAGCATTGTCTTCTGCTTGTTTCCATGTTATGTGTTACTGAAATGCAATTTCTGGTTCATGCATTACTAATTAAAAGCTCTTTAAAATTACTGCCTTGCTCTCACTTTCTTGAGGGAACTGTTAAGACCACGGGCACCTTTTCCTACAGAGCACAGCTGGCAAGGCCATGTCCCACATTTGTTTGGCCAGGCAGAGCTCTGAGCTTTAGCTGCTGCAGATCTTAGCACAGTCAGAAACAAAATTATAGTGAAGTAAAAGAGAAGGTATTGTACCAGCAGGGCCCCACATTAGGAGCCCTTCCTGATCATTTCACTTGCAGGTGCCTTCCAGTAAAATGAGAATCATACCTCAATCACCTCAGCTGCAGGAAAATTAAAAGGACAGGACTTGTGTTTCACAGAAATGCCTTCTCACTGAACAAATCCATAGTGAAAGCATGACCTGCTCCCTGGAGCTGTGATTAAAAGGCTTAGCCCATAACCTGCATGATTCTGACAGGTGGCAAGTAGTGTTGGTGGGGTGAGAAGGTAGTTTATGAGATAAACAAGGTCTTCTTTACAAGTCAAGGCTAGTGATTTTAGGCATGTCTTTCCTGTTCTAATGCAAAATGAAGCAGCTGCCAGTCCCAAAATGAAGCAGTTACCAGTCCAGGCCCAGAGGATCCCTGCAGAGCTTCTGAGCAGTGTGTGGCTTACAGCAAGCTCAGGGGGACTGGTACTGGATCCTGCTGCCTACCCAGCACAGACTAATGGAAATTGCTTTTCTGCAGCTTTCTCAGATATTCAACAGTGAGTTAGATATTACCACAGTCACACCCAGAAGTGTTTTTTTAAACTGCACATGGCATTTATTTTGGATAGCACCACAGAGGTCATAGACACTTTACAGCCCTGGCCTTCACAGCTCTCAGTCTAGGGAGGTGCAGCAGCAGGAATGGTGTTGCCTACCCACCACTGCTCCACCTGAGGATTTGAATGAAAAGCGTCTCATCAAGGAACATGGCCGGTCATTTACTCAGTGCTCGGTTATTACGTTGTCAGTGCCCAGTTTGAGCTCTGCAGCAGTTCCTGACACCACCCACTGCAGCTCAATGCCTTTGCTTACTTTGAGCAAAACTTTCAAGAATATGGGAGCTTTCAGTAGGATTGCCTGTTGTCCCAACAAATATAACCCTTCCTCCAGCATGCCTGCTGACCTGATGGAAGAAAAGAAGTAAGAAGCATGGGGGAGCACGGAGGACTCACACTGGCACAAGGCCAAATTAAGAAAAAGAAAGGATAGTCAAAACAAACCAAATTAATTACATACCAGGCCATTTGACTACACTGTCTTAAGTCAATTCCTTTGTTGCTAACATGAGCTTGCACCAGCACAAAAATTAGACATCAACCAGAAGCCAGTCTATTTCGAGTGTGGAATCTTCAACCTCTTAAAATCCTTCAGGGCCAAGAACCATCGTGCCCAGTTTGCCACGCTCTGGGAACCACTGCTGCTGTCTTCCCTCGCTGCTTCCCCTGCAGTCAGGAACCAGCTCTTCCCAGCTCCTTCCCTCCACTGCAGGCGTGTGTGACGCAGCTGTAGGGACAGGGAGAGCAGCCACACTTTTATGCAGTGTGGAGACCTGATGTGCTGGCAACAAATTCTTAAAATCCAACCACCTCCCTACACGTCACACCCTTGGATTGCAACCCAGCAGCTGAGAAACACCAAGCTGCAGCTTGAACAACTGCTGTACACAACCTCCCTCTCACAACTCACAAAACCCAATTTCAGTTCCTCTTTCAAGCCTCAAAGTGCAGAATTCTTACTCAAGATGGCACTTGATGCCTATTAATGAACATGGTTACAAGCTCAGAGCTTTCTTCTGCTTGGCCCCCAGCACTTCAAGATCCCTCCAAGTAAATCAGCACTGACTTTACACCATTTCTATTTACACATTTTTTTCCTCCTACATATCCCTTTTCCTTCTGCTGCAATCCAAAAAGCTGCGCTCTGCTGCTCCAACAAGCAGCCTAACACTTTCCCTTTCATGCAGCTTTCTGTCTTTGAGACACCTCAGCCAATGCATGTGACATAAAACCAACTTCAGAAACATATTTTAGCCATTTCCAGTAAAGAAAGAGAAGATGGGGGAATTTCTCTAGGGAGCAATGAAAATAAACAATTCCAAAGGCAGGAGGTTTTTTGCCTCAAGGGCCAACTCAGTCTATAACAGTCTAAGAACTGGAATGGGAATTGAGAAGCTTCAAAATCAGTGTTTTACACAGCACAGACAGCTAGAGACCCCACCAGATCCCATCGATCTGACCAGTCACATGGCCAAGGGAGAAGGATTGAAGCCCCATACTCCAACAATAAGGACAGAGAGCAGAGTAAAATCTGCCCAGGAAAGCTTATGGGAAATCAAGAACCACTTCATCTGCTGAACTCTGGAGCCTGCCTGGTTCCAGTGTGACACACTGCAGGGTCCTTTGCACACACTGGCAAAATGAGCAGCCACAGGAAGATCAATAATCCCATGGATGCACAACTGGCACCTGCCCCTAAGATGAGAGGGAGCCAAGTGATGGAACAGGCCTCCAGAAGAAATTTGTCTTTTTCCTACCCAAAGCGTCCCCGCCCTCCTTTAGCCTAGAGAAAAGCAGGAAAGGACTGAGCACAAGCAGGAAAGGTGCTGATGCCTGGCAGGTGGAGCGGCAGACAGATTGGAAAACCAAGCATTTAACCACATACTTCCTAAGTGGCAGGAAATGGTGGAGTGAAAGCAGCCCAAAAACAGTGAGGAACAAAACAGAAAGGAGATGCTGCAACAGAAGCAGATAGGGATTAGTTCCTGCAAGAAGGAAACAAAGTGTCAAGAAAGTAATCCAGGAAACTGACATATGGAAATGCTGCAGCGCAGGTTTCCAAATGTACGCATGCCACCAACTTTTCCCTCTTTTTGTGCAGAACTCTGCCACAGCTGCACTCCCCTGCCTAGCAGAACAACACCAGGAGCTAGAACACCTCCTGTGTTCCTCACCCAGGAAGTGACATCACTCCTGAAAAGGGGACAACAACTGACCTGCATCAAAGCCATCCATCTTATTTTCCAGACATGGGCTGCTTTAAGCTCCAAGTTTCTGTTCCAAAATAGGAAGGAATTTAGTCCACATAAAAAGAACAATGTAAATATCTGCTATTCATTTAATTGCTTTCAACCGATAGACATATTTTTTAAAATAGGTTTATTCATTAGGATCATGTAATTTAGTTACACCCAAATTAAAGTTTACTTTCAAACCAACCAGAACAGGAATGCTGAAAACTCCCTTAAGCTACAAACAGTTTAAAATTATCAGATCAAAACAGTGACCAACATTTTACTCTTCAATTTTTTCAGAAGTTACTCATGCTCTTTAACAGCTTCCTGAGCACATGCTTGCCACTTGAACAAGTAAACATCCTTGCAACACTTGTTTCACTTTGTGCGCACACCAAGAAATAAGTTAAAATGCCCTAACAGAGGATTCTGACAGAGAAATATATATACTACATCTGGACCAAACATGACAATTCTGTAAACATCAGACAAGGCTAGAGTCATTACCAATATATTTTTATGCATATTTAATAGGAAAGTTTCTGCAGTCATTGAAGTATTTGTCCAGATAATGAGAAGCATTTCAAAGGATTTTAAAACCATTTTGTGCCCACGTGGAAAAGAGTTGAAAAGGTCCAGTTACACTGGCAGTTAGTTGTTAACAGAAAGCATTTAGAAATGAGAGTCCGTTTGTGGTTCTTCTACTCTTGTTTCCTTTACTCAGGAAATTAAGTTTCTCTTTATGAAACCTTATCATTTGGATTTCAAATTTTCTGCTCATTTCTCATTTCAGCTCTTTTGGTTATTGCATCAATTTCTCCCTCAGTTAAGATGTGATGTGAACAGCAAGGACCCGTGGAACAGCACGGTCTCTTCATTCCAGCAGCCTACAAATACCCTTCTTAGAGATAAGTAAGTATTTTCCAGCACCTTCCAGTAATCACTACCCCTGTCCCCACAGGGAGGGGAGGAACTAGGACAAATTAATAAATAAGAAAATAAATTATACCCTTGTTCCCACCAGAAAAACTCTTTTAGGCTATTAACATCAATAGAAACTTTATCTTTGTTTGGATACAAACATCTAAGAGGTAAAGTATCTGTGTGTCATGTTCAGGCAGCACCTTTAAACAACCTAAGAAGAGTTAGTTCCACACAAGATGTAGCCTTTCAAGATGATCCTCCAGATAAATATCAGATTCTACAGTATCATGTTCTGACTCATGTAGTTCCCTTTAACTGGCCATAAGACATTATCAGATTACAAACCAGACAAAATTCAGTGCTCTAGGACCTATCAGCCCTTTACAGAACAAAAGTTCACACAGAAAACCCTTAATCCCATACATGCTTTTTTTTCAAGCTTTTCAGTTTGAGATGGTTTAAATATAACATGCCCTCAACCTTTGTTTGAAAAGGTACATTTAGGCTGTTTTGAATGTGCTAAATATTTTGTTTCCAGTGTTAAACATAAATTGTTCAAATGAAAAGAGCATCTGCAGGAGGTCAGTTTAAACTTCAGTAGGCAACAAGAGCTTGCTGTGGAGATGATGGATGAGGTTACTTTTCTGCTGATCCGGTATTCTTATAAATGGACAAAACCTCTGCAGATGAGCCTTGGGAGGGAGCTCTACAGAGCAGTCTGCAGAATTAGACTTTTCTGTCAGTTACTTGGTTTTATTTGGTGAACCCAAATATTTGGCTTTATTTTTCCGTGGACGCTGCTGCCATAGCTGGTTTGATCCCCTCGCGCGTGGACTTCAGCTCTTCTAGTTCTGTGTTTAGTTTGCTGATCACCCACTCCAGGGCATCCCGCCCCTGCCAGAAAAATACCAGAATTTAGGATCAGAACAGACACACCACCACTGCTCATGTTTCTATAGTTCTTCCTCTGTCAGACATGAAACTTGTTTTAAAATCAATGTCATGCTCTGCATAGTTTGATACCAGATTATATTGATAATTTCTTAGCATCTTATGGAAATGTCACTGCAAAGGCATTTGCTTCACCCCTAAGCCAGAAGCAAATGCAATGCTGGTGTGAGCTCCCAGCAGCACAAGGCCTAATTCAGCAGTCAAGTTTCCTTACCTAAGAGAATTGCTGTTTGCTGCTCTCACCACCCAAAGAATATTACAAAATATTACCTGGCAAAATCCAGGTACTGTTCTCAGCTTTATTAGCCAAGTTACATAGAAAGTTTTTGAGAAGATCCAGGAAAATGAAAATCTTCCAGTACTCTTTGAAGTAGCAGCTAAGTGATCTGATATCTATCAAGAGTTCAGAAGTGGACTCACACTGAATTCTACATTAGTACACAGCAACTTTTCAGCAGCTAAATCAGGCTAATTGAGAGTTGTACATTTTATATCAAGCTCAGAACCCACAGCCAGTGCTTCAGTAAGAGCTGGAGAACCCAGGGCAATAAGCCTGGCAAAAACCTTTTACCTGAAGAAGATTCTGTAGCAGCTGCACACCAATGACCACAAGATGCAGCTAGCAGCACAATGAAGTCAAGAAAGATTTTAACTAAACAAAAGTCAAGATTTTATAACTCTGCAAGCTCAGAGTAACAGCTTTTGTCAAAGCAAGCAGATGGGATCAGACCAGGAGAACACCTGGCCTTTTTTGACTTAGAGAGAAGTCAAGAGACATTCGCCTCTATTACTCTACTAAGAATAAGAAATACAAACAGTGGAGAGCAGTAAGTGGGAGCCACGTGGCTCTGGCCAGGTTTAGAATTCTGCAGACATAGGTTTGAGCCCAAAAAGTCATAAATGCTCAGGAGAGCCATTGTCAGTGTTCAAGCCTTATGTAGACATTGACAGAAAGGACAAGCACGCCTCCTCTGCACAGTTTTGTTCCAAACTGTGATGTGCTAATTTTGTTGTATTCATTAAAGGTGATAAAGTGCACAGAAACATCACAGTGTCCAGAACCTGCTGCTGTCCTTTACAGACTACTAAGCATGAACAAGAATCTGCATAAGCAGCTTTGAAAACCTAAGGAAAAAGAATGTCAGAAGAAAGCTCATACACACTGCAAGGATTTTTCTGCCAGGCTAGAAACATCAGTCTGGAATAATATGAAAAGCCCAGATCCAGAGTGCAAAGTGTAACTATTAAAAGAAATTAAGTTTTACTGGGAATAGGAGCACAGTTATCTCAAGACTCTCTTGAGATGACTCATTAAGGTCAGTGAAGGACTGACTTGGTTTCTCTTTGGGTTTTCTATATTCCAGAACTCACAGAATAAACACTAATTGCTACTTCTGCACTGGCAGGCAGTTCTTAAACTGAGAAAAGTCATCCAGGTATCACAATAAAGTGTTCAGCTCTTGGTCAAGGCTCAGAAAGGGAGATTAAGCTCCACCCCAAATTACCTTAAGAACTAGGATGTCTAAGTTAATTAGTTCAAAAGATGCCTTTAAAAGATACTAATAATATTCAAGAAAGCATGATTGAAATTGTCCACTTTAAGTACAGGTTGCTGATAGAAAACCTTAGAAGGGATGATTTAACTTCTGAGCTCCTCCCATTTGAGCACCAAAGTGACTGTTCTTCAGCATGGAGTAATTTCCAACTTCTCCACAGGCTGTGCAAGACCTGGGAACGCCAGCAAAGGACAAATAAAAGCACCCAGACATGGGGAAGCTACTGCACAGCAACAAGTTGTAACCAGCTGTGAATTAACTGAGTGCTCACTAAGGAAGAAGTGGGGGGGCAGGGAGGGGGAATCATCTTTCAGTAAGCAGGCATTTGGACCTTTAAAAGTCAAGTTTAAATATCCTCTCTGAGGTGGCACAGGCACACAGAACTGAGACAGCAACAGCTTGGATGTTACAATTGTTAAATTGCTCAAAAAAGACTTGTCAGAACGTCAAACACCCTGTTTGCCATAGAAAACAATCAGTAGAAAAACACTGAGATTCTTTTCAGGCCCTGACTTGAAACAACACATCATTGTGTCTTACTTGGTATCTCTGTGGATGAGATAAATTAATTTTAAAAATCTATGACATTCAACTGGAGCACCAAGATACTTCCTCCAGTTTTTGAGAGTACATATCTGTGTATATCTCCTTAGACTTGCATACACTATATGCCATATTTTGCAGCTAAGAATAAACTCATGATTTTGGCAAGGAAGACTTCAGGAACATTCTGCACAGGAAATTAAGTTAGAAATCTCAACCAGATGCAAAGCCTCCAAGTGCCATGAAACTACCCAGTTCTAAGCAAAAATCTGACAGAGGACTATCTATAAAGTGTCATACTGTACAACAAGTTCTGCAGTCAGTCATTAAGCAAGCACACTCATCCCCAGGCATGCACGCTGTGTAATTCATTATTGCAGGTGTCAGCAGCATGACGTGGCTGGCAGAACAAGCGCTGCATATGAAGATTTGTTGGTAGAGCTTAATGACTGATAAGTGCTGAGCCTTTGTAGTTGATGTTTTCCAGAAAAACAGCCATAAAAGCTTAGTGGAATGAGAACGTAAAAGCAAACACTCATGGCATACATGGTTCTCAAAATAAGCAGTGTAAAAAGCCCAATTTTCTTAACTAGGAGAAGCAGCAAAATGGATTTCTTTCTGTTTAAGAAATCTTATTGGTTGAAGCAGAAGCCAATACAGGAATGACAGGGACAGGCTACACTGACTAGTGGAAGAAAAACAATCTGCACAGAGGTCTCATAGAGGCAAATACACTCAGTTCTCGCAACCCTGAACTCAAGATTTGTTCATAGTCATATAACTGCAGGGACATGTCACTACCAAAATGAATATAACTACAAGACCCATGAAAAACAGCAACAGTCTGGCATCCTGACAGCTTCAAGCTTTGCACAGATTTCCTCAGAAGGGCAACACTACTCCTCAGGCAGAAGAAAAGCAAATACAATTCCGCTACGCAAAACATTACCCCTGTTAGGCAACAATTTCTGTTACAAGAAATCAATTTTATATCCTAAGAACGCAGTTCTGTTTCATTTTTATAAAGCCAATTCCACTCACTAGCCAATTTATTAATTTCTTTAGGCACCAGCTTTGTATACTGAAATCTCAGAAACTAAGACCAGATCAAACACTCCGTGGAGGGACTCCTCACATCCCTAGTTGTCTGCAGTCTTCAAGCCATAAGCAAGACTGTGGCACAAGGCATGGCTGCAGCACGCTGGCTGCCCTGTGGCACAAGCACGGGTTCATGGATCCAGCCTGGACGGGGCTACGCTCACCCTCCACAGCTGCAGGGCAAGGATCAGGTCTGCCATTCCTGTATGCAAGGTGTGTGAAACAGACATGCAGGGTAATTTATGAAACCCACACAACAGTCCATGCAGATATTTGCTAGAAAGCTGAAATGCTGTACCAAGAAGAAGGCTGGCATTACCACTAGTTAGTACAAACTGCAGGTGTGGAGAACTGCTAGCTTAGAGCGCTTTCAGAATTTTGAATTATCCACTCAATAGCATCCCACCCCTAGAGTAACACAAAAAGATTTACAACAAACAGCAAATGATTTTTTCATCGTCATTAAAAATAATAATTAAAAATAATAAGCTGCCACTGCTACCTCAGAGCAAAGTCTCAATAATTCCTATTTCTTCAGAACAACAAAACATTTTTTGGTAACTGTCATGAAGTTTAAGAGGGGTGTTTGGAGTGCAGAGGCACAGCACAGCATGCAAGAAGAGCTAGTAGTAGCACAGTAGGTACTGGTTAGCAAGGAAAGGGCTGGTAACAGCAATTACAAATTCCTGCCAAGTTCAAAATCTGTAGAGACTTTTCAGTGAAATACACAGGACAAGAAGATCCTCTGATTTGCGAGAAGCTTGTAAGCCAGTGTGTTCCTTGAAAATGGCAGAAAGGAACAATCTTAAAAGAAATTGAGGTCTCTCACAGGCACCAACAGGTACCAAGAAACAGTTACAGTTTCTCTGATTTCAAAAGAGACATGTAAATGTAACCAATGCCTCAAGGGGAATTTTGTCAGCATTTTTAATTGTGCCTAACTTGATCTGGCACACGAACCAACTAGACAATGCTTTGCTACCTCTGGGTCAGCCTGAAATTTGGTTGTGAGCCAGGGTTTGTTCCTCTCTTTCAAGAATATACATTCCACACAGACTTTTAAATGGAAACTGGATCAGAACAGAACTGTAATTTAACTGAAATACCTTCCATTTCAAACAGAGAGCACCCAGCTAGGTAAAGGTACTCTTCAGTGTCTAGAAATGACCCATCTCTCCTTCCCCATCGCATGATTTTAACATGTTTTCCTCTCATCTTAGGAGAAGCACACAGAAGGGTGGAAAAGGAGGCTTTCTCCTCTCTGATCTAGTTGGTCCTACCAAGTTGGTTTACACTGGCTTGGTCAAGGAGCATCCCTCACAAGGATGAAGGGGTGGCCAAAGCACAGGATTTCTGGCGTAGTAGGAGTTACCTGGCCCAGGTTCCCACTGTGCTGAACCCCTCCAGCAATGCAGAACATAATCTCAAACTCCTAACAGCACTCATCCTGCTCTTAGGCAGCAAGGCCTGTCCTTCTCTAGCAATTCCATTTCTTCCCCAAAGAACTGTAGGACAAAGTGCCCAAAAATAAGCACTCCCATAGCTCTGCCTGTGCTGAAGAGCAGCTCCACGGCTGCAGGCAAAATAGAAGAAGCAAGCACAGGACAGAGCAGTCAGTGCAGTGCTACCCAGGTGAGCCAGCACAGTCTCACCTCCTTAAAGAATATGCTTCTGCTTACACTAAATTACTTTTCGCCAAAGGCAAGGAGACAGCTCAATAATGGATACGAACTGGAACAACTGACAAAAACAACATAGAAAATATGCTGGTATTAACTGATAAATCCACATTATAAAGACTGAAAGTGAAGTTACATTTTCTACTAGCACTAACTCCTAGAAATAGATTGCTGAGGTTCTATAAAAAAATCTACTGAAACACTGCACACAAAATCTAGAGAAATTATATGTAACATTCAACACACACCACTGACAATTACTATTTCAAAAGAAAGAGTGATTGGATGAGGAAGAATGGGAGAAAACAGAACAAAGACGTACCTTTCTGGCATTAGAAGATATTGTGTTTGCCATCAAGCTTTCCAGATAACTGCTCAAGCTAATGCCTTTAACAGTAATAATTGCTTCTTGGGTTAGCACAGTCCTGTAAGGGAATAAAGAAAGGTTAACACCTAAGCTGAACTGGACTAACAAACTGTCTCCTAGACACAAAGATGCACACAGATTTCCCTACTTACTTTTCTGGGTTTTCTGGATGAGGTGTGTAAACCAGTCTCTCGTCAACAGACACCAAGTTTGTGAGCGTAATCTTAAAAACAAAACCAGAGCTGAAGTCCTCACTTCCCACCTTTCGTTTTTCTGTAATCAGCAGCACTACTCAATAGCAGAGCACTCAATTTAATGTCAAAATACTGTACACAGAATATAAACCCCAGAACACAGTCAATAAAAAGACGTATAAAGGGTGATGCATCTTCTCCTACCCTTGACCCATTATATCAAAGTTCCCATTCACATGAAGAGCACCAACAGCTCTCTCTGAATGTCGAGTCTGATTTATGGCCAGCGATTAAGAGAGGATCTCCCAGACCCCCATAGCACCACCTGGACTAGACAGAAAATTAATACTCAGGAAGGACAAGGCCTCTTGTACAGAGACAAGGCTCTCCTACAGACAACCCCACGTTAAATCTGAGACTTACGAGTTACCAGGATACCAAAATGTAGCACAATGCTTCATTTACATTCTATGAAAAAAGGCATTTCATATTAAAACTTTAGTTGAAAATGACAGAACACATTCATCTAAAAGTCAAATGATTTTACATGCATTCTGAGAAATAATCTTACATTAAAACAGGAATCACAAATGTTTGATGATGAAGTATTTAAATTAGAAAAAAAAGGGATGGGAAAAAGAGTCATCTAAGACATTGATTAAGACCTGTAAATTGTTGCCTCCAATGAAAGACACAGATACATTTCTAATCTAAATGTTAAGAGCAAAACATCCAACTTCCAGAATAATTAACAGAAACTTCATAAGCCACCACTCACATTAGTTGAGCAAAGCTCCATCTTCTTTTCCACTGGATCTACCACAGAATGCTCCTCTATGTAAGTCAGAGTTCTACTTGTTCCTAATATCTAAAGGGGAAAAAAAAAATGTTAAGTACCAAAATCCAACAAACAAACAGAACCTTAAAACACATAAATGCCAAGTTCTCAGTGACCCCAAATAAATACAAATTCATGGATATCAGAGGAGTGTGATCAGTGGTGAGACTTCATTGTCTAGATTGTATCAGCCACAGAGCATGGCACAGACCAGCCTGGAAGGCATTTACAGACATTCACAAATTTCAGCTTTTACTATGAAGTCAGCTCCAATTGACAGGATGACATAAAAGGGATCACACCCTTAATACAGAAGGAAGGCTGCAAAAATGTACCGCTTTGACAATACTGGGCAATCCCCACTCCGTGCTGAGAAGACGGTGACTGTGCAGCCTCCCCTGGTTATCCAGGCTCCTGTTGAGGACATCTACTCCTACCACACATGGATTCATGGGGTTGGGGTACTTCCTCATAGCAGCTTTGATCACAGTATCCCAGGGATGCCTGCGAAAGGAAGAGGTGAGAGGATTTCTAAGTATTTAGTACTGGATCGCAAGCAATCGCACGGTACTAAATCAGAATATAGGTTGTGCTATATGGTTCAGGCTGTACAGCTTCAGAGCTCCCAGAAGTCCCTTTGGAATGCTTGGTTATGCTTGGAAAGGCAATTAGAGAGTATTGGTACAAAAACAGAAGAAAAATTAAATTCTTCTCTCCAGACTGAAGCAAGGAATTATTACCACAAGGCTAAGAAAAATGAAGGCAAGGGGCAACAGTCACTCACTGCTCCAAGTGACATTCCAAGCAGTGCCCACAGAAATGGTGGAACTCTCAGCTCATTCCAGAACTCCACCAGGAAAGCAATCTCACCTAACACTTAAGCTTGTCCTGCTTGGAGAAGAGGACTAGACTACATGACCTACAGGAGTCCACTCCACCACAAATTTTTCTGTAACTCTAAGTATACCAAATAAATGAAAGAGGACATCACTAGCTTCTGCTCCTTCTTATAGCAAAAAAAAAAAAGGCAAAGTGAAATTAAATTCTACTAAAAAAAAGGATGATTGGGAAGTTCAAAATAAAGAAACAGATTTTTAGAAACCCCACCAGCTCACAGCCTGATGTCTGCACCTACACTACTGCTTCCAGCAGTTTGTTAGCATGAATTCCAGTTATGGATACTCCTCTCAGAACTGTTTTTATAAAACAAATTTTGATAACCTCAAATTCCTGGGATTGGAGCAGTCCTGCTACTCATGGCCAGGCTGTCCACACAGTTCTTGAGGTACTTCACATATTTCCTTCTGAAACAGAGGAGGCTACAGAAACCATGGACTTGATCCAACAGAGAAATTCTGTCCCTAATTATTTCTATATTCAGAATACTGACTGTCCTGACATAACAGCCTTAAAGCCTTTAAAGGTATGTTTAAAAATTCAACAATTGGTATCTAACTTAAGAAGGCTTAGGGGTGCCAACTTGCACTTAACAGTTGCACTTGGGGCCCTAAATGGATTTTATTTTAGTCTTAAAATAGACTGGTACAGAAAGGCACTGACAGTACAGCACTACAAGAACAAACAGAAAGTTGGAAAAATAAGTTATTTTTCTAACAAGAAAAGTGTCAGAAAGCTTTACTGGTGCAAGCAAGAGAAATAAGAGCCCTCAATTCCTGCAGCAGAAGGAGAGCTGGAGGATTGTTCCTTGTTCCATCTTTAGTGACTTTACACCTCCATCAACAGAAGATACACAAACTGAAAATGACAAAATTCTGTTAAATGTCCCTAAGGGATTGAGTCAGATATCTGATAAGGCACAACAACATTTTATTAACCATTCAAATGAACTACCTACACCCACACACATTACGCCATAAGACGGGGATGTTCTAATACAGAACTTGAAGAGAAAATGTCAAATAAAAATAGCTTTTGCATTCCCTAAGTGACAGATACTTATCTCAAACTCGGGAGTTGTGTCATGCTCGAGCAGCCTCTGCCTGATATTTCCTGCTAGAAACCACAGCTCACTTACACCAGACCAATGCTGAAGCAGAGCACCGAGTACCTGCATCAGTGCAAGCAATTCAGTTGTGTTGAGGTAATTAAAGAAATTCAGAGCAACACATCAGGGATATTTTGTAAATAATTTAAGAACTATCACTCCCGGTGCTCTTCGGGCCTCAAGACTTTCGGAACACCTGTAGCAGGGGAATCATCGGCGGTGGCATTCCCAGAGCTGCACGGGCGCTGCGGAGCCCTGCACGCCAGCTCCCCGGGACAGCTCGCTACACACCCCCGATCCTTCTCCCTGCTGCTCCCCGGGACAGCTCGCTACACACCCCCGATCCTTCTCCCTGCTGCTTCCTCGTTAGGCGGAGGTGGAAGCGGGCGGCCAGCGCCGCGTTCCATGCGGAAAGCACTGATGGAGGGAACACGGACGGGAGCTGGCTGCCGGGCACACAGCGGCAGTACCCGAGCCTAAGGGACACCGTCACTCTGCCCGCACCTCTTGGAATACATCACAGGCTACATCGGCAGTTTGGGATTTATTTCTATTTGTGACGTGAAAGTTATTTTTCCTAAACATCCAGCCCTTTACCAAGCCACCACGCTGCGGGGCCAGCTCTACCGCTCCATCCTGTTGGAATGCTGTTCCCGATAGGAGAAGCCCAGGCGCGGGGTCTGGCCGCGCAGGAAGCAGCTCGAGACGATGCAGGACCGGCACTACCGAGGCCCGTTCCCGGCCTCCCTCCTCCTCCTCCGGCCGCTCCCGCAGCATTCCCATTTCCGCCGTCACCCCGACGGGACCCGGCTCGCCCCTCATGGCCCGGCTCGGTGAAGCGCCGGGGTCCCGCCGCGCCCTCCGGCCCTCCCCGCCCGGCCTCCTCACCCGAACACGTGCTCCGAGCTCCAGATCTTCATGGCGGCCGGCGCTGTGTCCCTCAGAGCCCGGCTGTGTCCCTCAGAGCCCGGCGGGAAGGACGGCGCGCGCGGCGCTGCCCGGCTGACTGACAGCCTCGCGCCGGCCCGGCGAGCGCGAGCGGCCGCCGGGAGGGGCGCGGGGGGCGTGCCCGGGCCGGCGCGCGCGTCACGCGCCTGCGTCACCGCCCCGCCCCCCGCGCCCATGGAAGAGGCGGCGCAGCGCACATGCGCAGGAGCGTGCGGCAGCCGGGCCCGGTGTCCGTGTCCGGGGCTGGAAGCGGCTCGCAGGGATCGTCCGAGTCCATTCGTAGCCCTGCACAGGACAGCCCCAGGAATCACTCCGTGTGCCCGACAGCGTTATCCAAACGCTTCTCGAACTCTGTCAGGCTTGGTGCTGTGGCCATTTTCCTGGGAGCCTGTTCCAGTGCTCAACCAGCCTTTTCCTGATATCCAGCCTAAATCTCCTGATACAGTTCGCGCTGGAAAGGTGCATCCTGAGAAAGCAGATCTGCATTACCATTGACTGTTCCCCCTGATCCCCAGAAACCGACCCTCAGTACAAAGGAGAGATGGAGCTCCCGGAGCAGGTCTGGTGGAGAGCTGCAAATATGATGAAGGAGTTGGAGCATCGCTCTCATGAGGGAGGAAGGGCTGAGCGACCTAGGCCTGTTCAGCCTCCAGGAGAGATGGCTGAAACAGGACCCTATCAATGTGTTTATTTAGAGTGGGGGTGCCCAGAGGATGGATCCAGGCTCTGCTCGGTGGTGCCAAGCATTAGGACAAGAGGCAATGGGCAGAAACGGATGCACAGGAAGCTCTGTCCAACCAAATATGAGGAAGAACTTGTTTACTGTGTGGGTGACCAAGCACTGGAACAGATTGCCCAGAGAGGCTGTGGAGTCTCCCTTGCTGGAGATATTCAAGCACCGTCTGGATGCAACTCTGTGCCATGTGCTCTGGGATAACCCTGGCTGAGCAGGGAGGTTGGACCCGATGACCCACTGTGGTCCCTTCCTTTCCCATTTTGTGATTTTGGGATTCATGAGCTACCAGCGTTCTGGTTTAATCAAACCAGGAGTTCTGATTAAATACCCTAATAACAGCCATGGAGGTGACACGCAGCCAGGGACATCATGTGCAGGGCTGTGTCCAGGGACGAAGTCATTGTTGAGGAATACATGTGGAGCAGTAGCTCGGTTTGCAAGCTGCAGATGGAGATGGAGCTCTCAGTGGGAGCCTGAGACAAGAGGCCATGAATTGCCAACCCTTTGGTGGTGTCAGCCAGGTGAATGGTCACTGGGAGACACAGCAGGAGCAAAGATTCATGAGTAAGAGCGAGATTTGCATGTGGCTTGGACTGTGAGGGTATAAAAGCTAGGGGTTCCTTTGGGTTCCTTTGTTGGGGTCCCTTCTCAGGGGCACGAGCTGGGGCTGTTTCTGTGTTACTGCACCATGAATAAATTGCTTTATGGAATGAGACATTTGAGATTCTGCCATGAGGAACGTGGGGTGGATCCAGTAAGGAAACCTGGCCTGACTGTGTGAGGGGGGTCAAGTGGGGCACCTGTGGGTGCACTGGAGCTGCCTGCTGGAAAGGGGCTCTTGTCCCAGCAGTGAAAGTCTCTGGCCTTGGGAATGTGACTGGCAGAGTTTTGTGAATGGTCAGACTGGGATGTTTCCTTAACAGTGATAATGCCAAATGCCTGAGTTCACCTAGAGGACTTTGCACGGACTCATTCTACAGCAAACACATTGATATGAAACGCCTTACATAATGGGGCAAAACTAGGAGACAGGTTTCCTTATTTCCTACCTCCAGGCTTTGTAGAACATTACTGCAGGCTAAGCCAGCCCTGGCAGCAGGAGACCCGCCCTTCTCAGTGATGCTGGCTGGGCTGAGCCGTGCCCCGCTGACTCACCTGCACCCTTGAGTCAGCAAAAGGACCGGGACAAGCTGGAAAGATGGGCTGGGACCGATGGCATGAGGTTCAGCAAGAACAAATGCTGGGTCCTGCACTTTGGCCACAATAACCCCATGCAGCGCTACTCAGAGTGCTGAGAAAGTGACCCAGTGGAAAAGGACCTGGGGGCGCTGGTCAGCAAGAGCTGAATGTGGCCAGCATGAGCCCAGGTGGCCAAGAAGGTCAGTGGTACCCTGGCCTGCATCAGGAACAGTGTGGCCAGCAGGGCCAGGACAGGGATTCCTGTATTCCCCCTGTATTCAGCACTGGTGAGGCTGCACCTCAAATATTGTGTTCAGTTCTGGGCCCCTCAGCTCAGAAGGACATTGAGGTGCTGGAACGTGCCCAGAGGAGGGCAGCGAGGCTGGTGAAGGGTCTGGAGCACATCCTGTGAGGAGCAGCTGAGGGAGCTGGGGGTGTTTAGCCTGGAGAACAGGCGGCTCGGGGGTGACCTTATCGCTCTCTACAATTGTCTGACAGGAGGTTCTGGCCAGGTGGGGGTCGGTGTCTTCTCCCGGGCAAGCAGGACGAGAGCACATAACTACAAACTGCGCCAGGGGAGGTTCAGGTTGGACATTAGGGAGAAATTCCTCACAGAAAGAGTGATTAAACATCGGAATGAGCTGCTCAGGGGGGTGGTGTTGTCACTGTCTCTGGAGGTGTTCAAGGAGAGCTCGGACGTGGTACTTGGTGCCATGGTCTAGTTGACGTGGTGGTGTTGGGTCACAGGCTGCCCTCGATGATCCCGCAGATCTTTTCCGAGCCGATGGATTCGGCCCCAGGGCGGGCGGCGCTCCGGTGCTGACGGTGGTGGGCGTGGCCAGAAGACGGAGCGTGAGCCTACTGGGGGCGTGGCCTCCGCCAGGGGGCGGGGCCAGGTGTGCCCTTCGGACGCAGAGGAAATGCACGCGGCAGCGCGGTGACGTCAGGCGGCGCGGGCCGGCGGTGACGGCGGTCCGGGTGGCCATGGCGCACCGGTACCTGCTGCTGGCGCGGGGCGGCGGCTGCCGCCGGGGGCTGCCCGGGGCCCCGCTGCAGCAGCTGCTCTGCGGGAGGGGCCTGCTCGGGGGGACAAGGCCCTGCCTGGCGCAGGTGAGGAGCGAGCGGCCCGGGGATCGAGGGAGGGCCGTGGTGGCGGTGGCGGGCGGCCCCGGGGCGGGGAAAGGCGCCCCGCTGCTCGGAGCCGAGCGCGTCTCTGCTGCCCGCGGCCTCCCCCGGCTCTCCTCAGCCCGTTCGGAGGACGTGGCCCGGCCTGCTCGGTACGGGCCCTTCGGGGCGGCGGCGAACGAGGGCCCGTGGATGGGTGAGCGGGCGGGCTGGGGTGCCGCGCCTCCCGGCCTGGAAGTGGCAGCGGGCTCCGTGCGGGAGAACCTGCGGGCTCCTTCGGCCGCAGCAGGCTCGTCCTGCAGAAGGAAGACGGGGCGACATCCCAGAGCTGCTGCTGGTGCTGCACCCCGCCGGTATTCATAGAAACTTAGAATGTTAGGAGGTTGAAGGGATTCAAGGATTTTCTCCTCCCCACTCCTCTGCCATGGACAGGGACACCTGCCACTGCACCAGGTTGCTTAGAAGCCCATGCAGCCTGGCCTTGAACACTACTTATCTGCAGCAACACGTTCCAGTGTCTCACCACTCTCACAGTAAATAATTGCTTCCTAATATCTAACTTAATTTCTCCTCTTTGAATTTGTACCCACTTCTTCCTGTCTTATCACTACAGTTCCTGATAAAGAGTCCCTCTCTGGCTTCTCTGTAGACCCACTTCAGGTACTGTAAGGTAACTGTGAGCTCTCCATGCAACTTTCCTCCAGGCTGAGCAGCCCCAACTTTCTCAGCTTCTCCTCATAGAGCAGGGTTCCCAGCTTCCCACTGGTTTTCCAGGTGCTGTGTCCCACCTGATTCCAAAGTTCTTCACAGGGACACCTGCCACTGCACCAGGTTGCTTAGAAGCCCATGCAGCCTGGCCTTGAACACTACTTATCTGCAGCAACACGTTCCAGTGTCTCACCACTCTCACAGTAAATAATTGCTTCCTAATATCTAACTTAATTTCTCCTCTTTGAATTTGTACCCACTTCTTCCTGTCTTATCACTACAGTTCCTGATAAAGAGTCCCTCTCTGGCTTCTCTGTAGACCCACTTCAGGTACTGTAAGGCAACTGTGAGCTCTACGTGCCAGTTTACGCCAGGCTGAGCAGCCCCAACTTTCTCAGCTTCTCCTCATAGAGCAGGGTTCCCAGCTTCCCACTGGTTTTCCAGGTGCTGTGTCCCACCTGATTCCAAAGTTCTTCCATCACTTTCTCAGGGTGATGAGTTGTGTTAGGTCCTAATATCTAACTTAATTTCTCCTCTTTGAATTTGTACCCACTTCTTCCTGTCTTATCACTACAGTTCCTGATAAAGAGTCCCTCTCTGGCTTCTCTGTAGACTTACTTCAGGTACTGTAAGGTAACTGTGAGCTCTCCATGCAACTTTCCTCCAGGCTGAGCAGCCCCAACTTTCTCAGCTTCTCCTCGTAGAGCAGGGTTCCCAGCTTCCCACTGGTTTTCCAGGTGCTGTGTCCCACCTGATTCCAAAGTTCTTTCTCAGGGTGATGAGTTGTGTTAGGTGGGTTTGTGGCTGGGTGAGAGACTGAAATGTTAAAGATTAGTGGCTGAGCAGTTTGTTTTGGGTGTCAGTGTTCTGGAAAAGAGAGGCCTGGTTGTTTGCATCCCAGGATTGCACAGTGCAATGATGCCATGAATCTGCACATACAGTTGTGGTACTAACTGGTGAAGCATGAGGTCTATGCGTTCATTCTTAGTAAAATGGCCTTTGCTGTCAGCTGTTACAAGATGTGTGTTACCCTTGTTGACAGCTCTAACACAGTGGGGGAATGACAGGCCTATGGGACTGCTTGGGAAAAGGGATATGCTTAATTCCTCTCTCTTTCATGGGCGTCTGGCTTTGCTTTGTTTTCCTGTAGCACA